TGTCTTTGGGGTCAGGCCTGTGATGTAAATGTAAATTTGGCCTGACCAAGGCAACAGGGCTGGGAGGTACCCCTTCCATATAGAAAAGGGGAGCATGGATGCCTCATCTTTAGTAGCCACTATTAAAAAAAAAGGCAGTTGCAGCCAATTAGAACTCTGTAGCAATATAGATCCAGAGTGGCCACACTGGATATTCAAGAGAGGCAAGGTATCGAGTTCTACGTGAAACATCACTGTTTTGAAATACTGGCAACCAATTTTTAAGAAAGTAATTGCCTAATGCATTTGACTGCTAACCAGAAGGCTGGTGGTTCAAAGCCACTAGCCACTCCTCAGTAGGAAGGCTGGGCAATCTACTTCCATAGTGATACTGCCTTGGAAACCCAAGGAGGGGTCGCTATGAGTTGGGTCCGATTCCACGGCACATAACAACAACAACATGTGGGCGAATATCTGAGTTAAATTTACTCTGTGGGTATCCCAGTTGCAGCCTCTAGTGGGAGCAGAATCATTTGTTGCTGTCTCCTTAACTCCAGTTCATAGCCAGGAATCCCACCTGTATCACAGCACTGTGCTCCATAGGGGTTTTCAATGGCTGGTTTTTCAGTAGATTGCCAGGTCTTTCTTTGGAGGTGTCTCTGAGTGGACTCAAGCCTCCAACCTTCTGATTAGCAGCCAAGTATGTTAACCTTTTGTACCACCCAGAAAACCTCTCAGTTAACATTCATAAAATGAAACACCATGGCTCAAGGAGGAGAATAAGAGAAACAGAGGGAAAGAAAGAGCTGGTGAGTTTTCAAGGGAGCATTCATGTTAGACGTAAACACCAATCAACTCAGTGAAACTCAAGAGGCAAGGAAGAAGACTTTGCCCACTCCCCTGGCTCATGGCCCCACCACACTGAAACCTCCTCCAGTCATTGGCAGCTCTGTTGTGTAACGTTCAGATCCCCCTCATTGAATGTATAAGGTCTCAATTCACTTTTTCTAGAGTTAGTTTCTGCTATAAGCTTTCCCAGGCATGCCAACCTCAAAGGCAAAGAAAATCCCCTGGGGCAGCCTTGGCATTCCAGGACCCAGAGCCTATGAAAGGTTAACTTCTACAGCAGAAAGAGAAATAGCTCTCAAAGAAAGAATGCAGGGAAGCTACAATAGGACATCCGTTTTCAGAAAATAACTCTTTCCGAATCAATTACCTATTCACTTTTCCAGTCCATTTAGCATTTAAACTTTTGCTTAGAGACAGGGTAAGAAATTTCAGTAAACAGCCAAACCATTTTGGATTGCTTAGGGTTTGGGCCCAGGGACTGACAGGGTGCACCTGCTGTGTTCACTGATAGGAGTCTCCAGGGAAACACCAACCTACCAAGCACTCCATCCCCTCTCGGCTCCCTGCAGAACAGGAACTTTGATAGAAAGGTTCCCAAGAGCCCCCAGGACTATCTTTTCCTTCAGTGTAAAGGACATTGTTTTGTTTTAATCTCTTCAGACTTCCCTTTTCAGAAGGTGAGTTTAGCTTCTAAGTGTGCAGGGAGCCCCAGGATACAAATTTTCTTCTTCAACCATATTGGGTTCCCAGATCCCTGTTTTGTCCAAGTTTCTTTCTTTCTTTCTTTGTGATTTGGGTGAAAATTTACAGAGCAAATTCACTTTCCATACAGCAGTTCACATATACTTTGTCTCATGACACTGACCACAATTTACCACAATGCAACAACTTCCCTCCCACTTCCTCCTGATAGTTACCTCTTCCCTGTGCCCATCCCTCCATGCACCCCTGCCCCTTGAGCTCTTTCCCTGTGCATACACAGACCTTCTTTCTCCCATGATTGTTCTCTCCAAGGAGTGCATCTAATTCAAGTAAATGTTCAACTCCTATGCCTGCTTTTGTTTGGCTGGAAGCCACAGGTGTGGGCTCAGCTCCAGACCTTAAGGGCAGCTAGAGGCCACAGTCCCAGTGGTTCCACCAAGCTCTATGAGACCAGTAAACCTGGTCCCCTTTTTTTTCTTTTTCAAATGATTTTGAGTTTTGTTCCACATTGTTCTCTTTCTCTATCAAGGATCTCCTACATAGACCGACTTCCAAGTGGGTGACAGTGGTAGCCGGGCACCATCTAGTTCTTCTGGTCTCATAGTCATATAGGCTACAGATTGCATGGTGTACCATTCACTAGGACTAATTTTTTCCATGAATCTTTGGTTTTCTTCATTCTTCTCTGCTCTGGATAAGGAGAGACCCATTGTTGCATCTAGATGGCTGCTTGCAGGCTTTTAAGATCCCAGTCACTACTCGCCAAATTAGGAGGTGGAACAATGTTTTGTGTAGTATATTATACCAATTGAGCTTGATGTCCCCTGTGACTATGGTCCTGAGCCCACAGATTCAGCTACTCAGTCTCTCTGGGTAGCTGGCTGTGATCAAGAAGTGACTACAACCTCGTCCCTTGTCAGCTCTACTATACACCTGGAAATTCTTACAGATCATACAAATACACTTACAGGACCATTGTCTGCCAGTCCTATACATGGTCTTGGGTACACTACCCACTTCACAGACATATCTAATAGTTCATCCACCCATATACCCATGTTTGCCTTCACTGACAATGCAGTACTATATGTGCAAAAGGGTTCATTTGTCCAAGTTTCTTATCAGTGTGGTTGAGTTGACCAAATCCTTCCCTAAGTGGCTAATTGATCAGACTTAGTGTTTCATTAGGAGCTCTGGTGGCACAGTGCCTAAGGCATCTGACTGCTAACCAGAAGGCTGGTGGGTTTGACCTCCTTGGAAGGAAGACTGGGCAATCTACTTTTGTAGAGATATCACTTCGGAAACCCAAGAAGGAGGTTGCTATGAGCTGGAATCAACTCGACAGCAGTGAGTTCTTAAGAAGCTCTGGTGGTGCAGTGTCCAAGGCATCTGACTGCTAACAAGGAGGTTGGCAGTTCAAACCCACCAGCTGCTCCAAGGAGGGAGGATGGGGCAACCTAATTCCATAAAGATTTACCACCTAGAAAATCCAGTGGCGGTTGTTGTATGAGTCTAAATTGACAAGATGGCAGTGAGTTTGATTTGGTTTGGTTTAATGTTTCATTGGTCCCAGGGAATTTGTGTTTTAATAGAAGACAAAGTCCCCGGTTAGCTTAACCCCAACATCTGAGATTCTGTGTAGAGAATGTGAGGCATCACCACATCTCACAGTAGAAGTTTCTTGGGTCCAGAACAGCTGAAACTGCTGAGGTCATAACCCAAAGGGGATTCTCTATCCTACTTTGAGGGGCTATGGCTACCCCTTGTTCTGTCCTATCTTGCTCAGCCAGCATAAGAAGAAGGAAGCCTTATGTCAGGGGCTAAATTGCTAAGAGTTTTTTTCTAGGCTTCCTTCTGCACATCTGGTTCTGCATTTCCTCAGAAAATTGCAAAAGCACTTTTTAAAATAATTCATTTCATTTTTGTTGTTGCTTTTGAGAAAACATAAAGCAGAATATACACCAGCTGAACAATTTCTACATGTACAATTCAGTGGCACAGATAACAGTATCCGAGATAACTATTCTTACCCTTCTTTTCCTAGTTGTCCCTCCCTCATCAACATAAACTCACTGCCTCCTAAGTTTCCTACCTAATCTTTGCAGTTGCTGCTGTCAATTTGATCCCATGTAGGCAGTTTTTAGAAAAACACAATGCTCAAGGCAGGCATTCTTTACAAGTCAAGCTAAACTACTGTGGGGTAGTGGTTAAAGCATTTGACTGCTAATCAAACAGTTGGAGGTTTGAACCCACCAGCCACTCTGTGGGAGAACGATGAGGCACTTTGCTTCCATGAAGATTTACAGCCTCGGAAACTCTATGGGGCATTTCTATTTTTTCCTAAAAAAGCGTTTGGTCTCTGTGAGTCAAAAGTGACTCTATGGCATTGAGGTTTTTTTTTTTTTTTTTTTTTGCGGGGGGGTATTGTTTGGTTTTAAGAAGAGTTCAGGGGATATTTTGGTTTAAGGTTTAAAAATTATCTCAGGGCAATAGTTTCAGGGGTTCAACCAGCCTCTATTGCTCTTAAATGTCTGGATTCTATGACAGTTTGAAATTCTATTCTGTATTTCTCCCCTTTTGATCAGGAGCCTTCTAAAGAATCTTTGATTTAAATGTTCAGTAATGGTAGGTGGGTACCACCCAGTTCTTCTGCTCTCGTGGTAGATGAGGCAGATGTGCGTGGAGGAAATTAGCCACACATTCAATTTCCTGACTTTCCTCCTTCTTCTGTTGCTCTAGGCAAATAGGGATCTATGATTGTAACTTGGATGGCCACTTGCAGGCCTTTCTGGCCCCAGACACTACACACTGAACTAGGAGGTAGAAGAGAAGCATTAAACGTATTATTAGGCCAATTAATTGGGATGTCTCATGATACCCTGACCCTAAACTTCTAAACCAAGGAATTGAATCCCATGAGGTATTTGGTTGTATATAAGCATTCTTAGCAACAACTTTTTTTTTTTTTTGGGGGGGGGGGTCACTGTTATAAATATATCTATCACACAATTTTAGCAATTCTTCTTTTTAGAGGTGTACACTGAATGGTTCTATCTCAGTGGCTTTTATGATGTCCCTTTATGATCTGACTTGATTGGAAAAGAGATTAAAATTCCTTTCATCAAGGGCCTGGCAAGATTCGTTTTTGCCCTGGTAAAATCACAGAGATGTGGGTTTGTAACTGCCTTCATAAACATGGCTAGGATAAGTGCAGTTAATGTGTTAGTCCAAAAGGTAAATCAAAGCCTCAGGTTATCAAGCCTAGAGGAGAAAGTGGGACCAGTTGAAATCCCCTAAGCAGGACCCAGGTCATCACCTGCCTTCCTGTTCACAAATCAGACTGAGCACATGGGATATTCTTGGCAATTGTTGAGGGTCCCAACTGTACTGGGCAGACATAGGTTGTTTCCTGCTAGGGACAGGCTAAGTATCACTGAGCGGTAAAGAGGACACAGTTAATGGTCACTTACTCACAAACAGTAGGGAAGGACAGACCCACGAAGGCACTGGAAAGATATTCTGTGTACATTTCATTTGAGACTCCTTCCAAGTAGTATTTCTGCCATGTGTCTTCCTCAATCTAAAGGAGAAAAGTACAAGAGGAGGATTTAAAATATGACAGTAGGCTGCAAAAGGAAACTTGAGTTACACTATCTGGCAAACAAATGAAGGCGGTGGTTAAGTGATGATGACCCTGCTCAGCAACCAGGAACACAGTCAGGTCATCCACATGAAGCTTTCCAGGACCCCAAAATCACAGGCTAGAAGTACATCCTCTCTACGGAATCACTTCTTTTTTAATTCATGATTGTCAACAGTGTGGAGATATGGACACTCACATAAGATACTGGTTGGCAGGTAAGTGGATGCAGCCTTTCAGAAAGTAATTTTGCAATGGTTATCAAAATTTGTAGAAGTACACAGCAATTGTATTTTAAGTATTCCCAGAAACATTTAGACAAGTATACAAAAATATACATACAAGAACATCCCTTCGATCCATAAAAAATCAGAAATAACCTAATTGCTCACCACAAATGGCACATTTATACAATGGAATGCTGAGAAACAAAAATTATGATGAATATGTATATGCATAGGTATATCTATGTATGTATGTATGTATGTGTGTATATTATATATTCACAAGGAAATTATGTAAAAAGATACATTACAAAATCATTTGTATAGTCTGATCTTATTTTTTAAAGAAATACCATATAATGTAAATGATTATAAAGCCATAGAAAAATCAGGAAAGCTTTGTATTAAAACACTAACAGTTATCCCTGAATGACACTTTTTTTTTTTTTTTTTTCAGTAGATATCTGTATTAACTGAGACTTTTATAATGGGCCTGCCAATATTACAATGAAATGATAAAATCTATTTCCAGTTTTGGAAAAAATACCACAAAAAGCAAAATATAGTCTCAGAAAAGTCTTGTCCCAAACTTCATTTATATATACATAAATTCTAATTAACAAGTTCAGTTGGTTTTCCCGATTCTCTTCATGTTAACAGCTTCTAGAAGGATTTTAAATTTGAATCAGTATTTAAAAAGTATAAAAGGGAAACAATGAGAATGGTGAACCTCTCTGGGTACTTGAGTATCTCATGGGATCTCCTGAAGGAAGGCAGGCTGTGTGTCCTCTGGGTTCATAAATCCTTAAGTTACTGCCTCCAAGGCTGTACTTGCCAGGGGATGTTTAGGTAGGGGAAGATGAGAGGAAGCTTCCCAGTCAACAGGAAGTAGCTCTGTGCAATTTCTGATGCTGATCTTATCTTAAAAGGTATTTTTCCTATGGCTCATCAGTCAGTTAACCGGTGGAAAAAGGATGATTGAATTCGAAGGAAATGAGAAGAGAGTGGACAAAGGCACATCACACACTAGATGACACCCTGAAATACAAAATCCGGGAAAAACGTAGAAATAAACTGAATGCTCACTGCCTCTATGCTATTGTCTGCTTGCTTAGCCTAGGTCATTAAAGTATATGGGTTAACCTCATTAGTTTGTGCTGCTTCTAACCTACTCCTGCACATTAGACACTAGCTATGCAATACTGCTGGGTATATGGGCTGTTTATCTACAAATTGGTTTTCCCCAGAGTGGGGTCTTTGTTTTTTTTTTATAAAAAAAAAAGTCACTTAATTATTTCTTTTGCTAAATTGTATGACTTGAAAAATTAACTGCAATGTGTTTAGTTGAGCACAAACTTCTTAATTTCCCAGAACTGTAATACTTCACTTTTTTTTTTTTCAAATAAAAGGTACATTTCACTCTATGAGTAAGGGTCACTAATCCTAACTAACTGGAAGAAAGTCTAGGCTGCATTCATGAAAATTTTAAAATAGGGAATATTTTGGAACCAATATTAACATAATTTGTTATATGTAATACTATGTAATTCTATGTGAAGCATTACCAAATATAAATCCTAATAATGGGGCTATATGGCCAAATGGATTCTTCAAGTGGAAAAATTCAACCTATCCTTTTAGACAGTACAGACGTTCTTTTTATAAGGTGTCACTTATCTTGTAAATTTAAATATCGTATCTGATTTTCTAAGATGATGAAGAGATGGACCTTTATCTCAATTATTATCAATTGTTGGTAATGTTCCTCAATAAATATGATTTTAATAAGATTCTTTCAATTATTTTCTGGTGGCTTAGTGACTAAGGCATTTAACTGCTAACCAGAAGGCTGACGGTTCAAACCCACCACCTTTCCTTGGAAGGGAGGTTGGGCAATCTACTTCTGTAGTGATACCACCTCGGGAACCCAAGGAGGGGTCGCTGTGAGTTAGATCCGACTCCACGGCAGTGCGTTCATTTTGTTATGGTTTAAGAAAAGGAGCTCTGGTAATGTAATGGTTAAGGCATTTGGCTGCTAACCAAAAGGTTGATGGGTCAAATCCACCACCCCACTGTGAAAGGAAGATGAGGCAGTTTGCTTCTGTAAAGATTTACAGCTTTGGAAACCCAATAGTGGTTGCTATGAGTCAGAATTAACTCAATGGCAATGAGTTTGGTTTGGTTTGGTATGTCTTAATGAAGCTGCTCATTAGACCAAATTTTATCACTAAACTTTTTAAATATGTAGGAATAGTTTCTTTATAGGGTAACATTCAAGTTTGTTTTCAACTTAGCACAACTTGGTTGTTTCATTGATTTATTCAGGAAATATTTACCTAGCATATTCTGTATCTTAGGACTTGTTCTAGTTGCTGATTAAATCTTATTTTAAACTGGTATTTATTTTCCCATACTTCATCTCAGAAATTTAAAGTAATTAATTTAAATTGGAAAATGCACGAGATAGATCTGACTTTCACTGATTTCTCCACATCGCTTTTCCTGCAAATCTGCCCTTGCAGTTGATATGAAATGCTTGAGGACTGAAAGTAAAATAGCTGGAAAAAAATGTACAGAACGTTGCTGGCAAGGAAAATGTCTCTTCCATTTCCATATGTAGATTCTCAGATGGTATCATAATGTTAGGTATAGTAGTACTGAATTGATGATATGAATGTTGAGGAGTTTAAAACCATCATCACAGCCTTTTGTTTCAGATTTCCAAATCTTTAAGACTATTTCCATATAGATTGTCAACATGTTTTTGAAGTTTTTAACAAAGGCATTACATACACACACACATAAAATTGCTAATTTAATAACATCACATACTTCAAAAACCATTCTTATAGCATAAAAGAAGAGAGTTGGTATTTACAACAAATACTGAGACCCTTTCATCTTTAAGGGCAAGAATGAAAAGTTGTGATATTAGGACAACTGTTGAAATAGGCCATTCACATCAGGAGAAATATGTAGAGGAATCTAGCATTTTGAAATTGTAGAAACATACTTCAACCTTCATGCCAAGCCAAAGGTTTAGATTATCACCTCCTATGAAGGTTTACCTTTCTCAGTCTCAAGCATGGCATCTTTGAAAACACAAAATCAAAAGTGTACTTTCCTTTTACCTTTGTTGGTAGTCACGCAATACATTCTTAGGATAAGAAAAATCAGTGTAAAATACATTGAGTTAAAAACAAACGTGTTTAAATCCAGGGAAAATGAGGAAAGCTATCTGGAAAGAACAGGAGGAGATATTGTTTTAATGATTCCCCTTTTATAGGTGACAAAACAGAGGCACAAAGAGGTTAAGTAACCCATTCAAGGTCCCCAAGCCAACTGGTAGTACAAAGAGGATTTAGAGTTCAAGCTCTTAACCACCCCTACAACACACTTTGGTAGAGATGACAGAGTAGATATCTAGGAAAACAGACTTTGGCTGCTAGGGGGACAGGCAGAATTTGCTCTTATAAGTATTTCAATGGATAGCGCATGATTGGTCAGAGTTTCGTTGTGTTCTACATAGGGTTGCTATGAGTTGGAGCCGAGTCAATAGCATCTAACAACAAGAAGTAACTAAATGGAAAATACCAGAACAGGAACTCATCAGGGATTCAAAAACTCAAACTCTGAAGCCCATGACTGTGTGAGGTCAGTGAGGAATAATACTGATTTTGAGTCCCGCTGAAAGAATAGTTCACATCTTATCTCAGACTGTAATGACATCATTCCTAACATAGACAATGGAACCATCCTAGCCTACACCTTCATTCCCAAAATAGACCATGCTGCTCCCCACATCTGTGTTGCCAATGTAGTTTTAATTGTAACATGAATACACACTTCCCAGCAGAAAGATGGAGAAATAGGACCAAAATGACTTAGGGAAAGGTGCCAAAAATTAATTTTCCAGCCATTCAGCAATCAGTCAAAGGCAAAGTATTTCCTGAGGCAGCAATTTATCCTTTGGCTGTCACATCAAACTCCAGCTGTTTTAGAAGAGCGCCTAGTAAACCAAGCAGGCAATGTCATCATAGACTTGCAGATCTTGAGTGAGAAAAAGGAACTGAGCCACTGTGCTATCTTGTCCACGCCTCTCATTTTTTTTTTAAATCTATCCTTCATTATCCAATTTTTCAGCCAGCCTAGTTTAACCTCCCCAGCAAATGGCTTTACACCAATCCACGGGCAGATGGCTGCACCATCAAATATACCTTCCAACTGGAAACATCAGCCTTGGCTCCAGGGGAAGTAACACCTTCCTGATCCCACATTCTGCGTGTGTTACTGATGGAGGTCAGTAACGACACTTTTTATTTATTTATTTATCTATTTATCTATTTATTGCTTCCTCTGATGACAGCGAAACTGTGTTTCTCTAATGCTAACAGCTCAATGAACGTAAAAAAAAAAAAAAATCAACTCTCCTGGCTGGTTGCATGTTACAACCACAGTGATTTCTGCTCCCACTAAAGAATCTGAATAAACGTGCTGATTATAGCCAAATAATTTTGCAAATGTCCATCTTTACCTCCAGAGACATACAAATAACTTTGAAGATGATCATATACCAATCCTTATTTAATTGAAAACAAGTACACAGTTTTATTCCAAATATAAGCTGTATTGTGTACATCAAAAATAAAATTAACTAAAAGGAAATTATAAAAACCAATGACCATTATGTTAATAGCTGCAATAAGATGAGATGAG